ATAGTAATTTTTGAGTAATATAATTTTTTGTTCACTTTGTATCATATTTATAAATTTCTTAATTGATTAAAAATAAAGCATAATACGCAATTTTTTTAGTTTAAAAATTTCATCTGAGTAAATAAATTAATCAATAAAATATTCAACAAAAATAAAAAAAAAATAGTTAAAGAGAGTCTCTAAGAAATTACTTAAATGTATCTTATGGTTATTTAAACAATTATGTAAAGTTATTCCTAAGTACAGCTCGTTCCAAGAAAAGAAAGACAAGTGACACCAAGCTCTGAATTTTTAAAACGTATTTAATAAATTTATGTAATATACCATCCATTTATAAGTTTTTCTATTTCAGGAAAATGTGGGACAATTTTATAAAACTATTTATTACTAAAGAAGAGAAGCTAAGAAATACATTTGCGTTAATTAAATAAATAAATAACTAAAACTTCGACTTGAGACAAAAATTCGGTAAATATTAGATTTTAAATAATCAAATGTTAACAAAAGATTGTGTTTACCAAATTAATTGATTTAACCAACATAAAGATGAATAGGAGAAAATTCAAACATTTTTGAAACTTATAAGAAAAATCATAATTTTGAATACAATTTTTAAAATTCAATATGTTGGATAAAAAATAATATATTTTAGTGAATTACTAAAACTTCTACAGGCAAGATTAGAGATCATTTTGAAATTAATAATTTTAAGTCAGGTCAAAAGAGTTATAAAATTTATAATTGAAAATTTAAAAAAAGCTAGGCTCTTTTTTTCTAATTTCAAATATCGTGCAATTAAAAACCATTGGAAAAGTACAAATACTCTTAGCCAAAATTATGCTCAAAATTGTGATTTATTTTTTTAGATAGGTCTACTTAAAAAATAGTTTATTACATGAATTCATTTCGTTTTCGATCATAATGTCATTAATAATGTACAAAAATAAATTAAATATAATGGTAATGCATTCTAAAAAATCATTAGTCCTTTACATGTAGAAAAATATATTTAAAAAATGTCGAGTTTCAAACATTTCATTATTTTAAGTAATTCTTAAAAAATATATATTCTCTTTACAAATAATAATTCTGTTTTAGACTTACATGTTGAAATATAATTGTAAAGTTTTATGAATTATAGAACAGTCTAACGGACATTCAAATACTTGGCAGTTAGAAAAAGCGTGAGACAGGATATTGAATTTGCAGATCGAATTATGGGAGCTTCGGGCGAATCGGTGTTCAATATCCATAGTTTCATAAATAAATATAGAAGCATACAGATGATTAAAATAATTTTTCAAGAATATGAAAAATCAGTGAAATTTATTAAGTTCCATTATAAATCGATTTAAATTTACCGTTGTATGTAATTTAAAAAATATAAATCTTAAGATGTAATACCTACAAAAATCATAAATTATTGTTTTATTTTTTCTATCTACATCTGTAGTTAATGGACAGTTTATGGTGAATTTTTAAAAACAATAAAAATAATTTCTTTAATAAGTCAATTCAACGACCCAACTCGTATTCAAGAATCAGCTGGTCATTACGACATACTATCAATTATTATAGCATACAAATAAATCAATATTATAACCTACAAATAAATCAATATTATAACATGTAAATAAACATTTTAACACAGTATTTTTTTCACACTGACATGCAAATATATTTAATAAATATATATAAAAGTATAAACATGCTGACTAGGTTTATGAATAACCCTAACTTCCTAGCCAATTATTTAAATAAGCTAACTACGATCCAAGAAACAATAACTAAAGTATCTTAACACAGCAATTAATCTACTTGCGTTATACTAGTAATTATATCAAATACGATACTGAATATAATAATTATTCGTTACTTTGCATTAATCAATTACGATTCCATTTCACTATTAATAAAGTTTAATACTTTCAATAAACGTAATGTGCCATAATTTGGCGTCATTATGTGAAGATATAGTGACACAAAAAAAAACTTTAAGTTTAACTTTAATTTCTTTTTTTTAAAATGATCTAACACACATATTATAAGAAAATCAGAGTTCTCGTCAGTTTATCGTAAAATGTCATTAGTAACATTTCATAGAAATAAATTACTAAGTACTTTGGTGGGCTTTTCCTCTGCTAAATATGATTTCGTGTAACTATTTTTGACGTAGGATATAATAGAGTTTGTGTCATTTGATCTACTTATTTTGTTTTCTTTACTGGTAAATAAACTCGAAATTCACTATGATAAACCTTAAAGTTTAGTTCTATCGAAAATATACTAATGGACCTTTTGCCATTAACCGGCTATCCAGCAATGAGTTAGATTGCTATAAAAAAGATTACAAATGTTTAAAATTACCATCAGAAATAATTAAAACAACCAAAAATATAAGAATTATAATGAAATAATGCTAAATCTAACTCTATAGTAGGAAAGAAAGTTGAAAACTTACAGTAGCAATTCCAGGTAAGATACCAACTCGCTCGAATTAAACTCCATTTTATTTTAAAGCATTTTGGCTCTTATATCGTCTGTGATTATTATATCCTGATATTTCAGTAAAATTAAAATATGGTCAGAATTCGCTATTACTTTTGAATTTTCGTAATAAAGTTATTTTTTATATTTGATTAACTATTTGTAAAAAATTTTTGGGATCTATTGTAGAAATTATATTTTGTTAGTTAGAAAGCAATTTCCCGCCTTGAATAATTAGACGCTTCTGAGTAAAATCGCTGTTAGTGTTCAGTTTTAATAAAATACATACGTTATTAAAAAAGTGGGTAAGTAATCTGTTTCCTCAACAAATTGTCTTAAAATATTTGAATAATGTCGATATTGATTTTTTTTTTTTTAAATTCACAATTCATATTCTAAAATAATTCCTTTAGTAATCCTATTGTTTCCACACACAATTCATCATGTAATGTATTTCACTAAAAACTGGTAGAAATAAAAGTTAAATCCCTTTCAGATATATCTATGATGGAAGAATATTTAAGATATATAAAATCTTTTGTATCTTCATTTGAAATTATTACTTGAATAAGTTTTGCTTTATCTTTTGATATAATAAAAAACAATTTCAAATTTTGAAGATTTCCACTTTATTTTTTAATTTGATGGACTAAGATGTAATTTATTTTGAATGAAATCATTTAATCAATCAAAAATTATGGACATCAGTCTGAATTATTATGGATTTGATATAGCTCTCCGTTATGGCAGAGATGTTCTGGTAGAGGAAAAAAAGGGTAGGTTTGAAATGAATCTATATACAGGTTGAATGAAATAGAACTGCATTATTTATGTGCTATAAGTATAAAATGACAAAGGAAGTTGATTGAAGAAACCAGAAACACAAAAAGTCATTTATAATCTCATCACACAGTTGTGATTACCGTTATGCAATATCACATGCATTGATCAAGAAACCGTCTTACAACTCAGCCTTCAAGTGTTGTAATTTTATGGCATAATAAATACATTTTATTTTAAACTTGTATCGTTTCATTTTTACATTAATATTATTATAAAGCATTGCATTTCCTATTAAAAAAAAAAAATAATAAAGCTTATGTAGAAAAAAAATCAACGATTAGGCAAATAATTAATAATAAAACTTTTTTCTCTATTAATATAATACTTTTATAATATTGCTGTTTTCCAACCTTAGCTGAATGTATGTACATTTCATAAAATATCTGCACTATATATATGCTAAAGTCACTTTCAGACTACAGGCAAAGAATATTATTATAAACTGCCTGTCTGATCTTCCATATGTTGTGACAAAAACTCAGGTTTATTATAATGTGAAGCGAAATGACTCTATAGATATGTTGCCTTAAATATCATAAGGTACTATTAAATGATTTTTTAATTAGATCTATTTGAGGAATTTGAACTTTAAAGTTAATTAATTTTTTCTTATATCGTCTATACAGATGATAACTTTCGAACCTGAAAATCATCTCTCTAATAACGTTATCAATTCAGCCCAAACAACGAGAATGTTTTAATTTCCACACTAATATGTGCTTTATGAATGTTTTATGATTTCGTATTTGCTCTTTAAAAATATTTATTTATAATCGCTAGGGTACAGGGTTAAAAATTTTTCATATTTTCATATCCGATAGCAATTGTATCCACGTTATATATAAGTATATTCTTGCAAACAAACAACCAGATCAAGGATTAGTGTTTGAAAAATAAAAATAAATCTTTAACTTTCTTGTATTCAGTATTTTATAATACATACATTACTTTTACTGTAATATAAAAATATTTTAAATTAAACTAACTCAATAATACATACATTTATTTATATATTAAAATTAGCCTCTTCACGGCATAGAAATCTCTATTTTTAAAATATTATAAATGGTGTATACCTTCATAAAAGGTATAATGAAAATACATTTCCATCAATTTACAAATTCAATGAAAATATCCACTTTTAACACAGTTGTAATATATATGATTTGGTCACAAGATTAAATTATACACAAGATATAATTTTCTATGGTGTTTGTGCGTTTTCTTTAAATATCTTAAAATTACTGAGATCAGGGCATAGTTTAGTATTGATAAGGCAAATAAATAGTAGATATGCTATAAATTGTTCAAGTATTTACATTTCTATTGTTTATTTTAATCTCAAATCCATTTATAATTACAAATAGCTTCTGTTCTAATTTATTTTTACATACTAGACATCACAAAGCAATGGGCTTTCACACATTCTTGTAAAAGATCCATGTAATTTTTTAATTTACAGTTAAACCCTCTCCATATCGAAAATATGTCAAAACTTCCATGTACAATTTTTTTGTAATTATTTACATGAGGACTGCACGGAGTACACGTGGTTCACAATCACTTTGGTCACACTTGTTCATGAAATGCTGAAAACAGTCTTTCAGATAAACTGAGAAGCATTCAGCACTCCATGAACAAATGACCAAAGTGATTGTGAAGCGCGCGTAGCCCGTATGGTCTTCTTCTAAATAATTACAGTTTTTTTTTTGTTGAAACTTTTATTAGAAAAATATTTTCCATTTATGAAATAAACTTTCAATAACCTTTGTCTCCCCCCTCCCTTCTCCCAATGTTTTCTAAGTATCTATGTCATCATGTAAAGCTTTAAATATTATTTAATTTGCATACAAATTTTCTTTTTGGTCTAATGAATTAGTTTCAGTTATTCCTTATGAGAAAACCATAATCTAATTGATTTTTGACAAATTATTTAACCTTGCTTTTTTAAAAATAAAATTTCTTTTTGGTGACATTTTCCTTCATTTTTGGTTATAATCAAATGATATTAATGATTTTTCATTTAGATGATTAAAATATGCCATATTTGAATAATAATAATGTTCTGAGATACAGAAATAACCTATTTGTAATTAAATAATTCGTTTATAAATTGTTTGATGAAATATGTAAGATTATTGAAGAATCTGGACTATACTAAGAATTTTATGACTAGTTCCATTTTTAATATTCTTGTAAATTATATAATATATACTAATTAATATATAAAGTCTGGAAGACATACCAATATACCTTAATAAAAAAAAATTGCTATACTGAATTTATTTATTTTATTATTACTTTTTTTTTCCATTGGTTTTTATAAATATATCTGAGTAATTAGAAATAAGGTATATTGGTGGTATTAAATGCACATTGGTGCTCTATCACTAAAACTATAATAAAATAAATAGCGACTTTTTATATAAATATTAATTCAAGGTAAGGGATTCAGAACTCTTTTGATGAAAAAAATTGGGTAGTTTCTAATTTATAAAATTTGAATTCAGCAGCTGGATAAAACTGAAGAGAGGTCAAATCCTTCAGAAGAATAAAATATAATCTATTAAATATTCATGTCTTAGTTTTTAATTTTTCTTGAGATGGTATTGCACATGTCTTGGAATAATGGATAGTCTTGCGAAAAAATAGATAATATCAGCAGTTTTTCCTGCATTGAACTCCCAATTCAGTACACATACATTCTAGGCACGGACCAGATAATTCAGCAATTATTTTTCCAACTTCATACATCCGACCATAAATATTGCATCCTGCAAGTTTTAACTGCATCCCAACAGCTGGCTTACTTTTTGTAGGTTTATTACTGGGTGTTGTTGCTTTTGAAGTTTCTTTATTCCTATTTAAACCAGTTTTTTCTTCTTTACTTTTATTGACGTACAAATTTTCATTTGTATTATTTTTGCTTTCATCTTCCTGATAATCATCATATATATTTAATTCTGGAGATTTCTCAGTATTTTTTTCTTTATGAGAAATAAAATCATCTGTGATTTCAATCGCATTGTTTATTTCATTTCTTTGACTATTCGGCTGATGATTGTATATTTTGTCATGAATAGTTCGTTGTGTAGTCGATGGAGTTTGAGTGGTACGGAATAACATATCTAAGACGCTCTCAAAGGAAAATGTATCTTCATCTTCATGAACTGCTGATGAATTTTTCTCATTGTTTTGAAAAGGTATCTTTTCTTTGGTTGAATTTTTCTCCGCCTTTTGAGTTTCATTGATGTTCGATTTTGTGTGGTTGTATTTCATTTTGTTATCAGTGTTATGAGTCAAAATACTGATGTTCTGAGGACTTTGTACCATTGTAACTGCTGGTTTAGCTGCTAAAGATTCATTCTTCAGATGTGGCAACATATCCTTCATGATATCTATTAGATCTGGTGCAGGTTCTGTCCTGATTACATCTTTAAATGGGTCAGGTGTAACTACCAAATCTGCTACTGTGATAGCTGGAATGTTGGACATACTTTCAGGAATGAGAGTGGACTGGGTTGAGATCTCCATATTATCAATAATTTTTGTTGGAATGCCATCTGAAAATGTAAAAAAAAAAAAATCTTGAATGGTTGAATATAATCAGTTATAGATTTATTTAAAAGCACAATAACTAAAAGTCATTAAAAATTTAGTTTTTCTTTGTAATAATCAGATAAATAACAGAATATGTAAACAGGCCATTTATTTTTATTTTTAAGACTTTTTTATGAAAATTTAAAAAAAAATTTCAAGCTAGTTAAGTTAGTATTATTTTTTTTTAAATTCTCTTTCTCTATTCAGCATGTAATTTTTATATTGGGCCTAATTACTAAAGTATACTTAATCATAATAAACAGAGCTTTTGGTGTGAAATTTTTAATGGATAGATCTCAAATGGAATAGAACCATCTTATATACTATATGAAGCTACTGTTGATTATGAATTATGAAAAACATTTTTCCTTAAAGATTTTTTTGCTTGTGATTATGTTAAATACAAAATGTTTTGACAACTTTTAGGTGATCTACTCATTACCGTATCATGTAAGAAAATTTTTTGTCTTCTCGATGTGGCTTTCTCCAATGGACGGACGGTCAGACAAGTACTTACTACATTAGATGTTGTTTAACTTTGATTTCTTACTTCAATCTCCTTGGCCATCTTGGACCAATACTCCCTGCATTATAATAACCCCATATCAATTCTCTATTAGTATACTTACCACAAATGATTCGGCCACAACAAGACTTGTCATTTTCATGCAATATCCTTTGACACCCTTCCTTGACTGGAGCACACTTTGGTTTCTGACAATAAGATTGTCCATAGTAACAGACGCATAATTCACAAGCATTAGGTTCACTGACTACTTCCCCGTGATGGTATGTCTTTTCCTTGTAAATACATTTTCCTGAAACAAAATTAATTTTATATTTCGGAAATATTTTTTTCTTAGAAAAGAAAAAGGTATTGTTGATGGTTATAATAACTAACAACAATAAACCTACTAGGATGACTGTTATCATTATAATAATACTAAGATGACTGAAACAAGTACAAAAAAATGAAAAGGGCATGGCTTTATCATAAATATATCATGTAGAGAATTTATTTAGAGATATGGAATTTAATAGCTTGTAGGATTGAGAAATAAGTTAAATTGTGACAATATTTAAGGATTTGGTAATATGGCTAGAGAGTTCCTGAACTGAAATGGTAAAGTTTCTGTTTATATTTGTAGAAATTTTTATGATTTAAAAAAAAAATGCAGTAAAACCCAAACGATGTCTAAACAAGTATACTTAGTTTTCCCTAGCTATTCGATTCCATTCCTCATGTTCACATGCCTTCTCTTTCCACAGTCTTACACTTAATATCTTGAGATCTTCTTCCATACATACATCATCTGCATGGATGACCAACTCTTTTCCAAAAAATTGTACTATGTAGTAATCTGCTCAGCATTCTATTGGTGGGTATCCTTATTATGTGGCCTAACCATTTGATGTAATTTTATGCATTGGTGTCTTGGAGCGGAGAATATAGCTCCTCATTACAAGGGATCCTCCATGTATTGAATTATTTGTCCAACATTGATCCGTAAATCTTTCTTAATATTTTTTATTCGAAAAATTCTCAATTTATTGTTCATCAAGGCAAAGAGAGTCCAAGTTTCGGCACCGTAAGTAAGAATTGATCTAATAAGAATCTTATATAAACACATTTTTGTTCGATGTGATAATAGTGAGGATCTGAAAATTTTTACATTTGCATAGTAGGCTCTATTAGCTGCTATAATCCTTCTGTTTACTTTGTTTATTATTTTATTTTCCTGATTCAATTCTGCTCCCAACTAGATAAAACTGCTCACCCTTTCAAATTCATATCCATCTACAGGCAATACATCAATAGTCTGCCCTGACCCTCCGACTTTCATATATTTTGTCTTCTTTTCACTTATTTGGAGCCCCATATTTTTAGTCACATTATCATCACAGTATAATTAAGTATAATGTTGGTTTATAGCAAAAAGTCATTAAGTTATATTTTTAATGATTTTGAGATAATCGATTTTGAAGTTTCTGATTCATTAAAAAAATACTAAAATCGCAATTTAATTATTTTTAAAATTAATTAAAACAATCGACATTCATATAACAATGAAAAAACTGAACCACGACTCACATAGTGACTTTTTACACACTATCATAGTTAAACAAAACACTTACTTAGTTTTATTGACCATCTGATCAATTAATTTAGTGAAAGAATTCATTATGTACCAGATAGTAAATTCTGGGATCCTACTTTAACCTCATTTAGGGAACAAGAGTTTTGCTCTGTATAATCAGAACATCGTGCACTTAGTGAAATTATTTTTTTAATTTAATAAGATTTGTATGCACTTAATGAGTAATTCTATCAATAATTGTGATCGAAATTAACAGTGATGTCTCTTCTGGCTCAAATCGACCAAAAATGTATTTAGTGACTTTTTGCTAGAAATCGACAATAACAGTAGTTATTCAAGCAATTATTATGTAAACATTAGGCATTGGCAAAAAACTTAAGGGAGAATCTTTTTAGTACATGTACTAATGCAATAATCTTTTGTTATTAATATAACAATAAACATATGAATGGAGTGCAATTTAAAGAATGTACCAGAAATCAGTGTTTAAAAAAAAAATTACAAAATATTAAGTTTGATTTGTATGAAATAATGCAAAGGAAGACAGCTTTTTCTTCTTTGGGCATAATCACCCAACCTGAGTTCCATCAACCAGATTTTCCCTTAAGTTGTTTGTATATAGGTTTATTGTGTATAAGTAAACTACAGAAATCAGCAGCAAAGATATAAAATGAAATTTCCTTTTTATTTTCCAATTCCACTCTACTTTTCTAATCCTAACAAATACAAATTTAAAAAAATGAAATAAAATAATTACCTTCTTCAAACAGTTTTGGAGGTTCAGTTATAGGAGGAAGTTGGAGTGTTTCTGAAGTTAGTTCTATTTGTTCACCATTACTATTAATAAATGGTTTTTCAAATTTAGTTTCATAAAATGGTCCATCGATTATTGGATCCCGTGGTAGAAATCCTCCTAAAAAAAAAATAGTATCATAATAATTCATGTAATTATTAGCTCCTTTTCAACTTTCAACTTATCTTTGCTCGATATAATAACATTGCAGTATTCTAATGAAAGAATTGCAGATTGATGTTTTTATCAAGCACAGTAAATCAATAACTTATTTAATGAGTTTTTGTCTCACTAAATTTTCAATTACCTTCAGTTTTGCTAGGAGGTGAAAAGCGACTAGGTTGTGGATAATCAAAATATATGGGCTCATCTGTTTTTCCTTTTATTTCATCATCATTTACAACAGCATCAGCTGCTACAAAAGGGATAATCCTATAACAGAACATCTGGAAATTAATTTATTCAGGATAAGGATACCTATTTCATTAGAAATAAATACGGTGTATATTAAAATATTATTAAATTACTTTTATGCTCTTTTAACCTGATTTCATAAATTTTGTAAGGATTACAATAAATGGATAAAAATAAAAATAAATTTTTAAAACATTTGAAGTAAATAATAGAACTATATATATATATATATATATATATATATATATATTATATATATATATATATATACAATATTTTTTCTTTCATAATATTCATTCTTATTTAATGCCCAAGTACTCCCACAATGACCAATTGTCAAATTTTTTCTAGCATTGATCTTGACCTAAGAGATTTATACCTGGCTGCTAACAATATCATGATTAAAAATATTAGAATAGGATATTGGTACTTAATGGAACTAATTTCATCATACTTGATGAATCATCGTTCCTTTTGGCAACTCAATATCTAACAGACCATCATATTTAAACAGTGTAAATTTAATAATAGTAAGGAAAATTATGATATCTCAGTGAATAAATGGTTAATTTGAAATTCAATCTTTCCATGGAAGCTTACACTTTTTTGACTGAAATTGGTCTATATATGCTGAATAAAATCTTTAGAATTTGAAATGTTTACATAAAAATTTGATTTCTGGCAGATTATTTATGTTTATATTGCTATATATAATTAGAAGTCAACTTTTAACTTGTCTAACTAATTCTTATTGAAAATTTTTTGTTTTTTCATTTATTGACTGAGAATGTAGCATACTTAAACTAATCAATATTTAAAACTAAAACTTGAATTGTATACTTAAGATTTGGAAGTGAAGGAGGAAGTGATGGCTCGTTATAATCATATTCATAGTCTTCGTCTTTGGCAAGAGTTCTGTTAATAATAGCTTCAATAACATCAGGGATGGATCTGATAGGGCTCGACAGATTGGCAGTTGTTGTGTTTGCAGTTTCAACAATGATTGTTGTTGTTTCCATTTGGGTCGGTTGAATTGTGCTTGGATATTCGCTGGCTGTAACACTGCTTTCAGTGACTGATCTTTGTTCTGTATCATTGTGTTGTAAAGCCATGAAACTATTTGTAGTTTCTGCTTCAGGTATTGTTGAAGTTTCAATGTTGGTAATATCTGTCTCGAAAACTGTGACATCTGGATTGATTGTTGTAGAATAGATTTCAGTGGTGGTTTCTTCCTCGATCTAAACATGAAATCGATTGATTAAGATATTATCTTAAATAACAAGAAGTTTATCTATACTATTTTTATTTTGTTACCTTATTAGTTGTAGATTCTGTGATTGCTTCAGTTGAATCACCTAAAAATAAAATATATGCTTTTGAATCAGTGTCAAAAATTGAATGAATTATAATCTCCAAAATGTCTTAATTAATTGAAAATCTTAAACATATGTTGTTAAAGAGTTTTGTTAAAAGAACTATTTATTCATTGCTTGTGTTAATCGTTGATGTTTATTTCTCTCAATATTGGAACCCAATGATATGTAAAACCAACATTTGTGTGGATACCATATTCAAGACAACATTACACTCATTGAGAACATTATGATGCATATTATAATAATAACTCATGATTCCAAATTAATAAAACATTTAATGAAGATTCTCCGGTGTTGCTGAAACAAAAGCCTCAAAAAGTTTTTTTTTTTTAATACTTAAAGCATGAACATGGAAAATATCCAGATCTAACCCAAAATGTTTAAGATAGACTCAAAACTTCCTCAAAGTATCAGGGTCTTCTCCATTATAAAACCAATGATTTAAAAATAGAAAATATCATTTGTTATAAAAATGTATACATTTTCAAGTTTATGTTTTAAAAAAGTAGGTATCAAGTGCACAGATTAACAACAACCTTTTCAAATTAATTAAAAAGAATAAAATGCAAACATGCAGGCCAAAACTCAGCAGAATTTTGGTTTAGATCAGTTGATATAAAAAAATGGTGTCAACGATGTTGGAACACTATACGAGAAGGAATTTATGGAAGTGCTTCTCAGCATGAAAAATTATAAAGATCTTGAAGTAGACTACATACTGATTTTAGTTTTCCAGCATTATAACAAGCAATTTTACATATTGGACTAATACTATCTCTGTACTCCTGACTGATATAACTATCTGTCATAAAATTAAAACCAAAAGAATAGTAATTACAGTGAGGGAGGAGGAAAGAAGGATTATCTCAGCATAATGAATGACTTTACATTATATATTATTTATTTTCCTATGTTAAGAATGTCTTATGGTTAGTGTGAATCAAAGAGGTTGCGATGGCCGAGTGTGTTGGAGCGTTGCCCGTTTTAGCATCCTTGTGCCTAGCGACGCTGCTTCGAATCTGGGCCGGGAGTGGTTAACTTTTATTTCGTGGTGGACCCACGGAATGAAACTCAACCCTCCCACTCTGGTTGGAATAGGTTTGGTAGTACCTCTAAAATAACCCCTCTTCCTCCTCCCCCATATGCCAGAAATGGTGGGTAGGGGGTTATCTTATAAAAAAAAAAAAGGTTAGTTGTGAATCCTATATAAATATCAAAAACTTTCTAATTTTAAGGATACCTTTAATTAATGTTTTAAATATTTAATGGATACTTACTGCAGTTATAACTAATTGGGCAGCAGTGACCTGGGCTCATGACTGGGGAACACTGATGCAGCGGAACAGGGCAAATAATCGGTTTGCATTGCACGTTTCCTTTCAAACAGTAACAGTTTTCACATTGTTTTTCCTTGTCTTCTACTTTCTCACCCTCTGAATATGTAGTACCATTTAATTTACAGTTACTTGTACCTATAAAGAATTTAAAATAATGAATACACAAAACTATTATTTTTAAAACTAAAAAATTCAACAATTCAATTTGATTAAGTATATTTTGGTTGTATAAAACAACAAAAAATACCAATATATTTAAGTTCAATTAGTGTATACTAATACACACATTACAATTAGGTAACTCTATGGAATAATTGTACGAGTTCATGGGATGAAGAAGATTTTTTTGTGAAATTTAAATTGGAAATATTTTTTGTCCCAAAACATCATTAAATTTAGAAATTTTACTAAATTTAATTTTTATTTTATTTTTATTGTTTCAACTTTTGAAATGTTTAATTATCTTTTTTTTCTATGCTAAATATAAAGATTGAAAAACAATATTGTCAAGAAAAACATTACTGTATGGTATGATCAGACTAACTGTCTGGTTTTGAACCCCAGGATCTCTAAAATGGTTTATTTATTTGTACAGTAAGAAAATTTGAAATAAAAATATAATATCTCCTAAATTAAGAAATGTTTAAAAAGATTTTTTTGAGAGAGTACATTGATTTCCTGTGTTAGGATATTTGGAACTGCAAGACCGTTTGAAAAACCGAAACAAAAGCTATATGTTAAAAGAACTTAATGGCTATTAGTGATTATTTCTTGGTATGCAATCTGATGCTTATAACGTATTCTGTGACAAAAAAAAAAAAGAAATACCCTTCTGTAATATTCTCCCTACAGGTGTAAACAGATTTTTGAAAATAGAGTTAAAAGGCAGTCACAAAATTTAGCATTTCATTAAACAAAAAGTATAGAGTAGAATTTTAAAAACATTCGAACTGTTAGCAATTATTATATACAATGAGTAAATGATTTTTTATTTTTAAAAACAATCTTTTAATTTGCTCTTTCAACATCAAACATTTGTAATGTTGGACTTTACCTCCAAGTTATAGTCGTTGATTGATAATAATTTAACTGTAGTTTTTTTAATAAAAATTTAACTGATTATATTATTATAATTAATATGTGTTGAGTATAAAAGCAGAAAAATTATTTATTTTGCCTTGTCATTGTCGATGTAATATACAAAAATATATTTCTTTAAAATTTTATTACCTGATTCTATGGATGACTTTGTTGTTGTTGAGGTTACTGTGGAATTCCTTAGATCTCCTGAAAAATAAATAAATGATTAAATCCTTTAAAAAAATATTACTAATATTTCAAATTATAAAATTACTAACTTTATTGATTTTTTTTCATGAAAAAATATATTTAAAAAAAAACTGTTTTTAAAATTATCCAATATGTATCTGTTACAGAGTGAAACCGGGTTTTGTGCCGGGAGTAATTTTTCAAAACCTAGTTCAGTGAGTTTATGTGGTTCCTGATGTGCCTTTTCATCATGCTAAGACAGCTGTGCAGAGATTAAGGTAATAAATAAATTTTAACATTTTTATCTCAGATCAGTCAAACTCATTGAGTGTTCTTGTCTCTCTTTGGATTATTTTGACTCACTACATCTTTACAGTATATATTTTTTTAGATTAGTTTGGTTGATAATGTTTTTTGTTTTGTTTTAGGTAAGTCATCATCAGTTTGTCTCTCATATAATCTGTATATTGACTTGCACTTTTCATTTTAATGGGTCATGACTGTTGGAAAATCAGATGCAAAATCAACTGTCACCCAATATTTTTTTAGCAGTTGTCTTTTTCAACCTAAGATGGAGTTTAGGTGGAGGGGTACACAGGGACAGAATAAACAGTAAGTGAACTAAACAATCGCATAAGGCCTTGGATATAAATAGTAACTTAAAGATTTTGGAAATGATGAAATAAGTTTTAAAAAATTCTCCGTGATAATCAACAAAATGTTAAATTTATGACCAATATGTTCAAACTTATTATTTTTATTTTTAGTATTCCCAAACTTTTTACTCCGGATCCACTCCTATACTAAATAAATGGGTAAGAAAGGCACTGAATTCGTAACTCCCAGGGTCCAGTTTTGAGTCCAACTTTGGCAGATAATTTTATTATTCTGTTACGCAAGTAGGTCATATCTGGGATTGGTATTGTAAGAATAATCTGATATTTGAATATGAATGCTGACCATATCACCCTGAATTTGTATTTCCTTACTAAATACTGAACCCAAGACCTTACATGAGTTGTGGTGTTATAATTTTTTTTTTGTTTATTATTTTTTAATTGCATTTACCATGTGCTAAAAGGAAACAACAGTAAAAACAGATCCGTAATTAGAAATCCATCTGGACTATACCTTCTTTTAATTTATTTTCAATTGACTTAATTTTCTTGATTATGTTGATTCAGTTGAAAAATGTGAGATTCACATTATTTCTTGCTATTAATTATGGTTTTCCCTTTTCTTCTATGCTATTTTAAAATAACATTAAAATATGTTTAATGATTGCTTTTTTCTTATTTCATAAGCAATACTTAATTTTAAATGAAAACATGAAAATAAAGAATGAATATTAAGAAAAACTAAGCTTATTGGAATGATAAACATTGCTAAAGAAAAGAAAAGAGATAGTATAGTAATGAAAAAAACAATAATAATTAATAGATACATTTTTATTGGTAACGGCAGAAAATAAATAACAAAAATTAATTAAATTATAATAGTCATTAATGATATTGTTGAAAATATAGGAGCTAACTTAAGGGATTAAGGTAGACTCCTAGATTAATTCTTTAATAATTATTTGATTCTAATTGGAAAAACCAAATCATACTGCTTCGTCTGTAAAATGCAGGTTAAAGAAAACTAGCCTAACAAAATGTTGCCAATGCAAGCATCATAAGGACAAAAAAATATCCTAAATTACATGGCTCATTTAATTTCTCCCCCTAATTTATGCCTCACTTTTGTTTGTTTGTTTTTTCATTGCTCTTAGATATTCTTAAATAATTTAATTCTTTGCAGTCAATCCATAAATTCATCACATTTTAACAAATATTTTTTTATAAAATCTCTTTTCAGTGGGTATGATTGGTCTATGCTCTATTCAATAAGTCTAAAAAGATTATTTTATGCATTTACCTTTCCAATTCTGTACACATTTATTATAAGTTTGTTAATTTAAACCTTCACAAATAACATCTAGTGGTTTTACATTCCACCAAAAATTGAGTTAGTTAGTATGTCTAGTCTTTTTGGCATTACTGAATTAAAAAATTAACTTTAATCTTCTATGCTTTTACTATCTTCTATAGTTTTTATAACTTTGTAAGTATTTCTGTTTTTTGATGATGTTGTCTGTCTTTGGTTCCATATTCATATTATTTTAGAATTTTTTTTTTACTTGCCTACTCATTCTCTAACATGCCAACAGGTGCTTTTACCCACTCTAACTAGATCTTTATTATTTGGTTATAGTAGACTAATACACGCTTGATTTGTTTCACTAGGTTTTCATCAATAGGTATATTTAATTGGTACATTTAGTTCTATGTCAAATATTTATCTTATTATATATAAATTATTATAACAATAAACTAAGCTATCATCAGTTTGCCTCAATGTTGAAACGTTAAATTTACTGTTTCTCCTGCCTTTATATATTTTTTTCTTATTATGACTGATCTTAAATGGTTTCAATGAAAGTTTATTTGGAATACGATGTAATCAATCACTGGAACGTTTTGCTTTTTTTTTTATCACGATTAAATTTTTAAAAAACTTACTGACATCCGATACTTCTTTGATTATGAAATTCATTCTCTTAATTCAATCATTTAATGTTTTCATTTATCACAGATTAAGTACCACACTTTAACATGGAAATTGAAAGCATAAATATTGTGGGAACTGTCAAATGAATTGTTATTGTTAATGGGTAAATATGTTTAAGGTTAATTTCATCAAATCGCAAAATAAAGGGATTTAATTTCATGCAATTTAAAGAGATTCATGTACTGACTACAGTTATACTTGACTGGGCAGCAAGAGTGTTGCGAATATTGTGGTGTACAGCCCGTAACGTCCAGGAGACATTGCGGCCTAACACAGTGTTGCCTTCCTTTAATGCAATAGCAGTATTCACACGGGGATGACAATACCATCGCTGACCCTTCACCAAACATGGTACCGTTTAGCAAGCATCCTACAACAACATGAAATGGAAATTAGCTTAGTATGTAACTGTCATAAATAATGTTTAGCAGTTTTGTTAAAAGTTTAAAACATTGATAAAGATTACACACCACGAAACAAGTTTTCCAAACACCTAAAGACACGGGATACTTGGATGAGCATTAAGTATAAAATATGCGATCAAGTAAGTTAGTATGATTAGAATTTTTTTCAGCTGCCTCAGTTATTCGTTTTTTGTACATCAGTTTATGAATAAAGCTATCACTTTCCAAGGAGTTATTGAGTTATCTTGGTTGCCTAAGAACTTTTCGGCCCCTCAGAACTATGGTTTAAAAATAGCGTTTTAGTTTTTTCATTATTTTAGGTAATGTTTAAATAATAATTATAGTAATTTTTTGAAACTGGGTATAAATTAATGTTTTTAAAAAATATTGTTCTCTTAGTATCTTATATGAATTGACCTCTTTTATTCTTTCGAATTAAAATAAATAATTACCTGAGAAAATGGATAAAAAAAATAGACTATGAGAATACAATATACTTTTTCATATGTTTAAAAACAAATTCAGTAAATCATGACCAATTATAAATAGCTCATACTGTTATGTATGCGCTGGTACTAATAGAAAGTATGTTATTTTTTGCAGTCTGTACAAATCCAAAAACTGACTTTTAAAATTTCATGTTATTTTTGAGATTATGTTTTCCCTGAGTTCTCAGTTCAAAAAGTTTATAAAATATTTGTAATTAACTTGGGAAACCTTTATATATGCTAAAAAAATTAAATCAAAATTATTTTCATAAAATAAACTCAAAATTTAGTAGTTTACAATAAATAGTTGTATAAACATGAATAATATAAATAGATATACAAATAGTGTTAAATAATTAGAAAACATTAACATTTAAAATGTAATTTATGAAGAATATCATTTTAATGAGTATAAATAGATTTTCCAAACTAAATACGTATGCTTGTATTTCAGGGAATATTTCATGAAAAAATTAAAGCCTTTGTGGACCACTTAATAAACTTAAAAGTCTTTGCTTATTTTGTACATCATACATAAATTTAAGATATAAGCGTATATCAGTAACAAAATATTGGACATCAAAGTAATCTATGAAGGTATTCATTTTCTGCAGTGCCATAACTGAAAATTTACAATTTTTCACTTGAAATTTTAAATTCTGTATTGAATTCAGTCAATTGAAGAGCACCCAATGGGTTCTTTAATTTATTGATTTGTTTTTTATTTTATCCATTCTGTTTAAAATAATTGAACAAATTATATAATCAAATCATAGGAAAATTATAAGTTTTAGTGGATTCCTGAAAAATGCAGTTTTTAGACATGAAGCCTTTTTCAGTTTAAGGAACTGTATGTAGAACTCTATTGGAGTTACATGCTAACAGTTATTCATTTTTAAATTGTTAATGTGAAATTTATTGTCTCTGGTCTGTATTTATGTGATTTTGTCTTTTTCTGTGTAGTGATATCAGAATTAGCAAAACATTGACTGATTCTTAACTTAGTGGTATTTGAGTTACTGAAGGTTTTTTTTTTTTTACAATCTTGCAGTAATATTCTGAAAGTTGTTTTTGTCATTTATTTAATATTATATCTATGTTTATCAAGTAACCTATTTATAGTTTTATATTTTTTTCTCACAATTTTTACCATTAATATTGTGATATTCAATAGAAAGTAAATATTTAGGAAGGAGTAGTATTATGAAACAACTCTTTTTCTTTGACTTAATAAAGCTAAACATTTCAGAAAATAGTATGGTTTTCTGTGCTGTATACAGTATTTAAAGTGATGATAGCCACCTCAAGAGCTTCAAAAAATTTATAGAAACAATAGTCTGATTTACAATGCGAAAATCAAACTAAATCCTAACATATCCCACCAAATCACAGTTATCCTTCCTCATAAAGTTAATACATTCTGTCCTAAAATATACTTTAACAATGTTTTGCTTACTCCTGTTGAACAGATCCACTACCTAGGGTTACATCTTTACAAGTGTCTTAGATGGAATCC